AATTTAATTAATATTTAATACGCTGAGGGTTAATTCTTCGATCCTTCAAATTTTGTGGTTACGATTGTTTGAAATGAATTCTATAAAATGTCAGTCATAGGTGTCAATGTTTAAACAATTATATCTCAAGAACTAATTGAGATATCAGATTGAGATAAAAAGTATTTTATAGCTAATTTAATTAATATTTAATACGTTGAGGGTCAATTCTTCGATTCTACAACTTTAGAGGTTATGATTTTTAGAAATGAACTCTATAAAACATCAGTCATAGGTGTCAATGTTTAAACAATTATATCTCAAGAAGTAATTGAGATATCAACTTAAGATAAAAAGTATTTTATAGCTAATTTAATTAATAATTAGTATGATGAAGGCCAATTCTTCAAATTTTCAAATTTTGAGGTTATGATTTTTTGAATTTAACCATAATTGTCAAAGTTGGATTGAGAGACATAAATCTTTAAAGATACGTATCTCATAAATTAATTGAGATAACGGCATGAAATGAAAAGGGTTTTATAGCAAATTTAATTACATTTTAATACATTAAAGGTCATTTCTTTAAATCTTAAAACATTGGAATTATGATCATCTTCAAACTAACCACTTCTTTATAAGAGATTCAATGTACTAATGGGTTTAATGATTATTATTAGGTTGATTATTGTCGTATAATTGATATATTGCACATTTTCCCGAGATTTTGACATCTACCAGTTTAACCAAAATAATTTGTTTTCCCTCTAATCGCAAGAAATTTCAGTTATTGGTACGTCGAGTATTGGTACAAAAAATCGTTTTGCCTACAAATAAAAAATTTTACATTTTCTTTTTTTTGTTTAACAATCTTTAAACTCTAAATTTCTAAATAACAAATACTAATACGTAAACATTCTATATGGGGTAAAAATAAATAACCAGCAAAATTAATTCTTCTCCACTCTCACAATAATCACTTAAAATAGTCTTATTTTCATCTCCTTATTTTTGTAAAGAAATATTTTTTAAGAAACAAACATCCTTAAGTTTTTTTTAATCTTACTTTTTGATTACATTTTTAATCCACAAATCTGGTACAAGCTTTCTTCCACTTACACTGCGTACACCATTGGTCCTTATTATCCATACCATAAACTTTCCGGCATTTTTTACTATCACCTCTCGCCCGACGTGGTGATGCAGACATTTTTAATCCACCAAATCCGCCAGGAGGTGACATCTTTTTGTTCGCCAACGGTATCGGGCCGCCCATCATTTTCTGACGAATCGTACCAACAAGTTGACGTTGGTACTCTGGGTCTTCATGAGGCGGACGGGTCAGATCAAAATGCGAAAGCGTTGGTTGTGGTGCTTGCAGCGTAGAATGGTGTTCTTCCTCATCTTCCTCTTTGATATCATCGTAATAGAAAATTTCATCACCTGGACAACTACAACAAAAAAAGTTGAAATAAATTAACCGTTTTACATGAATAAAAAAATGTTTGTCTATTCCAGGGCCACCGACACCACCCGAAAATATCGTAAACGGAACTCGTAACGGGGCTTCAAGGATACTTCGTTGATCAACAACCTTGCTTTTATATTTAAACGGCGTCGAGCGGATAAACAACGCGCGGAATTCGCGTTGTATTTTCGATTTCGTTCGCGTAAACAGAAACGTTCGTCTACCAAAACGTTATTTGTTGTTGTTATTATAGTGTGTTAACGAATTAAATTATAAGAGGTATAACTAAAATCGTTTTAAAATAAATTTTGATAACCTTTAAAGAAGTTGTCTACGAGAAACTTCATCTTCAAAAAACTT